CCCGCTCCAAATTCACCGTATAATTGAAAATATGAAGAATTTGGGGTCTTTCCCAACAAAATAAGTAGAAAATCTGGTTTAACGAACTTGCCTGGTCGATACATCCACCACAGTGAGGTTACGCAGCCTCCAACAGAGTCCTCCTCGTTTTCTCCGCCCATCTCGTCGTCCTCCTCTCCCATTGCCACTCCTCTTGTACACTCCAATCCCCCATTTTCTCTCACTCCTCTCACAGGATTCTTCCAAGTCCTCCCCTCCACGACGGCCATGGCATCTCCTTTCCTCTCGAGTACTGCTGTCTCCTTCTCCTCTTCCCGTCCTCGCCTTTCCCCCTTCATCTCCTCTCGTCTCCCTTCAAAGCCTCTCCCTAAGCGTGTTCTCATTGTCCGATCGAAGATCAGGGAGATCTTCATGCCCGCCCTCAGCTCCACTATGACCGAGGGCAAGATTGTTTCCTGGATTAAATCCGAGGGCGATAAGCTCTCCAAAGGCGAAAGCGTTGTTGTAGTCGAATCTGATAAGGCCGACATGGATGTGGAGACCTTTTATGATGGAATTCTTGCTGCTATTGTTGTTGGAGAAGGTGAGGTTGCTCCCGTCGGCGCCCCCATTGGCATTCTTGCTGAGACTGAGGAAGATTTTCCCGAGGCTAAGGCCAAAGCTGGGTTGAAATCTGCTATTTCATCTCCTGCTGCTGTTGCTGCCACTCCTGCTCCTGCTACCTCTTCCGCGCCCCCAATTTTGCAGCCGAAGCCAGCGCCTACTCCTGCTGCGGAGGGGCCGAGGAAGACTGTTGCGACGCCATATGCAAAGAAGCTAGCGAAGCAGCACAAGGTGGATATTGCGTCCTTGGTTGGGACGGGGCCATTCGGAAGGATTACGCCAGCAGACGTGGAGGCTGCAGCCGGGATTACGCCTTCGAAGACCAATGTAGAACCCGTTGTGGTTGCGCAGCCTACTGCACCACCGAAAGTAGCAGCTACTCGTCCTGCTTCTGCTCCAGGTACTTTGCCTCCTCCAGTTCCTGGTTCCACGGTTGTTCCTTTTACCACGATGCAAGCTGCTGTTTCCAAGAATATGGTGGATAGTCTTTCAGTGCCAACGTTTCGCGTTGGATATCCTGTGACCACGGATGCCCTCGATGCCTTGTATGAGAAGGTTCAATCAGTGGATTCTGTAATTTGATTGCCTTATTAACTGTGTTTTCCACAGACAAAGTGGTCCAATATATTCCTTTCAATTTATAGGTTAAGCCCAAGGGAGTGACAATGACTGCTCTGTTAGCCAAGGCAGCAGCAATGGCACTTGTGCAGCACCCTGTGGTAAATGCAAGTTGTAAAGATGGAAAGAGTTTCACTTACAATAGTAATATCAACATTGCAGTTGCTGTGGCCATCAATGGTGGTTTGATTACCCCTGTTCTTCAGGATGCAGACAAGGTTTGCATTTTCTATTTTTAATTCTATGTCTATTATTGGAATTTAGAACATGTAAACTAGTTGATGATAGATGTTTTTCTGTTGATTTTTAGCTTCCTAGACTTTAAATTGGTAACTAGAGTTTTCTCTGCACAGTTGGACTTGTACTTGTTGTCACAAAAATGGAAAGAGCTCGTTGACAAAGCCCGGGCAAAACAGCTTCAGCCTCAAGAGTACAATTCAGGTTATTACTGTTAAATTTGTCTCTCCTTTTCTGATTCAGTCCATGCTTGGTAGTGATTGAATCTGAGGTGCATTTAGCAGGAGCTGATAACAGTAAGTTGTTCCTCAATTATTGCAGGGACTTTCACTCTATCTAATTTGGGGATGTTTGGAGTGGACCGGTTTGATGCCATTCTTCCTCCAGGACAGGTTATTGTCTATCAATAGTCTTTTGACCTTCACTAGTTTATTAGATATGCCTGCTTCTAATCGCTATTTACCATTTGCTGATTTTCTATCTTAAATGATCAGGGAGCTATCATGGCTGTTGGAGCATCGAAACCAACTGTTGTTGCTGATGCAGATGGATTCTTCAGTGTGAAAAATAAAATGCTGGTAAGTCCAATTTCTAAATCCAGTTATTTTGTTTGTAAATTTTCTGGATTGCAACACTGTAGGTATAGGAGAGAAAAGGTGGATGGTTGCAAACTCATAATCTTTTTCAATCATGTAAGACAAGAAATTTCAAACTTATTATAGGTCAAACATATCTTATGTTCCAATGAAATTATAGGGCCACCAAAGATGAAATAGGTGATGAACTACCAGTCTCCCTCGTGCTCTCTGTTCCGCATCTGCTATCCCAATTCTGCAAACAGTGTCAGGGATCTAGTATCAGGCAGTACACAATTAGCTAGGCTTTAATTGAAAATTGCTGTTTAGCAGCAACAGGTTTGAAGAATATTTTGACTGGAGAAATACATAACCAAACAGATGCAAGTCATGTCATGGTCTTTTGAGATTTCATGCCTTGCCAATATTGTTTTTCATAAGATGTCCACTGCTGAAAACAGCTGTGCAATGTTTGAGCATTAAGGCTTCTCTGCATCAACATTCAAAACTGTATGTTGTCACGGGTCTCCTGATTTCTGGTGTATGTCTTATTTTTGTCACATTTAATATAGTCCCTTTTCTGCATGCGATATAGGCTGTAAGTTCACCAACATAAATATTTCTACTGAATTGCTTAACCCAGTTGGCATGTTTCTTCTTTTCTTCAGGTGAATGTAACAGCTGATCACCGTATTATCTATGGTGCTGACTTAGCTGCCTTCCTTCAGACCTTCTCAAAGATTGTTGAGAACCCAGAAGGCCTGACTTTGTAGATGATGTTCAACTTCTTTATGAAGAATTCACACTCGGCTTCCAATTTGGTGGCTACAGATTTCAGCGAGGCTATTTGAAATTTTGAACGTATTGACTGAGGAGCCTGTACTTTTTGGCAGATTTCACATTTTTCTGAAACGAAGTGTTGTACCACATTTTGTTTGTTTTCTAAAGGTATCAGGTGCCATTTAGATACTTAATAAAAACTTCAAGGAACTCTTGTATTAGAATCCACATTTGAGTCCTTTGTATTTGATGTGTTAACAATCATTTCATTAGTACTGATGAAATGCATAAAGACAATGGATTTACCCACAAAAATAATAATTAAAAAAAAATACTTCTAGATAATGGAATAAG